AACTGGCAGCTAACGAGCATGTTGAGTGCATTAACTGAGTGCAACAACCGCTGCCAACAGGCAACAGGCAACAATAAATGCCAAACAATTTGCCAAATCATGATTTACAAAAGACAGCGCATAGGAAAACTGAATGCCCAAAAGGGGAACGAAGGTTGACTCAAAAATCAGTGGCGGCGACTAAGAAGGGGTGTAATATGTAGCAGAGATACAAAAGAAGCCCTCATCTTCGTAGCTTATATATTTACATTTAAGGGTAACAGTTTTCAATAAACACAAGTATATTTAAATTTCGGATTAATACTATATGAGAAATATAGAAATATCTGTTTGAGCATCTTATAGATAAATCTTGTAATTTCTGAATGTAAAACTTCTAATAATGCAAGAATCTTCCAAGGAATTTCATATATTAATATGTTTATCTAGATAAAATTGTAACTGCTGCTTTCAAAAATATCTTATAGATACTATGTGGACATATATGTCAAGTAGCTACATGTGGGCTTTATGGAATTGATATCCGTGGTATCTAAATGGGCTAAGATTACTCATCTTACATTTATTCACTATGTAAATCAGATCATTTTTTATAAATAGACTTAATACGTGGTTTTCTCGTATCTTTAATATAATATAACATCTATAGCCACAGGCAGCTAAATGTTACAGCACTCTGCAAGAAAACTTTTTTCTATTAAACTTTGCCGGTAACGACAACGCCACTGGCCTCAAATTTGCCGCAAATCTGTGCGCATATTTTTATATACAATATCTTAATGCGAGCTATTGTGCGCGAGTGAAGAGCGTCGAACAGGCGACGGTATAGATAATAATACGGGCACAAGCCAAGCGGCAGGCGGCAGAGTCCTAAACACTTCACGTCATTTCCAATAAGATTGTCACAATGGCGCTGCCGGCTCTACGCCAGGGGGAACGAGGTGGGCAGCGGGGTAGAAGTAGAGGGGTTTAGCTACAGTTGCAACTTTATGCAAGTGTATCTGTTGGATGCGCATTCAACGTATTTAGGCTACAATAGCGCGTAATCTATGCCACTCGACTTGCACAACAAGCGGCATGCAGCTGTGGCAGTTGCGACTGCGACGGCATCGCTTTGCTTAGCATTTTGCATCCAGCAGATACTTTTACCCAACACAATGCAGCTTAATGCTAAAAAGTGCACAGCGCATGAATTTCATTTTATTTGCCTTGCATTTTTATGATTGCTATGCAAATGCAGCACAGCCCTCGGCAAACCTAACTACAACTAAGTGCAGTTATCTACGAAGTGCCAAAGATTAAATACCCTTGCAGTCATATTGCAGATATACAAACTATTTCCGGAGTTCTCATAGAAAAACTCCATAATCGGTTCCTCTATCATATAGTTGTTGATAGTAAAGATGCGTTTCACATCGTATAACAAAACATTTACTCTCTCTCTCTCTCTCTCCCTCTGGAAGGGTATCACAACAACTCTGCAACGCAACGAGGCGTGGCATCTTTTGTTCCGCCCGCACTATAAAAGAGCAGCACAGAAAACAACATAAATCGATTTGCGAACTTGTTTGGGGCGGAGGACATGTTTTGCCATAGAAGACACAAACAATTGTTGTTCAGTTCAGCTAGCACTAAGAAATCAACAAAGTAAACAAAAAAGTATTTAACATAAAAGAGACCTAAAGAAAATTTATAAAATCGTACACACTTTTAAGAACTGTGGGAAAATATAAAAAAATAATGAACTTACCTTCTGTATTAACGGTAAGGTTCTCCATATTGTTGATTCGTTTGGGTTTAGATGAAAAATAAGATTAAAGTTGTTACTGAAAATTAATATTTAAAAATGATAATTAATACACAAAATATAACAAAGTGTTTAAAGGGAAGAATTTATCAAAAAAAAAGTTAAAACAACTAAAATGTTGGTCACCTGCTATTGGGGAACTTTTAAAAATTTAACATAAATTAATCAGCTCATTAATAAAACAACTAAAAAGCTGTTAACCGAAATTTAGATATGGAACAATTTAAAGAGCCAGGTATTTAATAAACATCCCTCTTAACAATGTACTCGTTTGTATGTACATACATCTCATTTATCTCATTTACGCAACTATTATGCATTTAATAAAATATAAATAAATAAAAAACTATCTTTATTATATCTTATCATATGCACACAATGTCTCACGTTCATAATTGAATCAATTAAGCCCCAAGTCAGGTACTTTTTAAACTCCCCTCGTTTGTCACATCGTTTGTGAACACATACATAAATACATAGGCTGCTGCTCCGTTACAATACTGCCCACTGCTGCAAGCGAAATGCATAAAACACTCGAGAAAGACGCCCTTGCAGAACGTAAGGAGCAACAAACAACGGCAAACAAAGAGCAATGCCAATAAGAAGAGTGACAGGCCGTAACAGCAGCAGCTATAACAAGCACTCGCTCATTACTGTATAAAATAAGAGGAGCAACAACAATAACAAGAACTGCAAAACCGAACGCCGGCCACTGGAAATTGGAAGCAACAAAGCGTGGGCCAAAAAGGAAAAGGAAAAGCAGCGCCTGCTGTCAGGGCAACGACAGCGACAGCAAAAGCAACTGCAACAACACAACTGCAAATTTCAAAGAGCTGCAAAGTTGTTGGCGTCGGCGTTTTGCAGCTGTAATTGTTGGTGCTATTGCATTTGCGCAGTAGCAGCAAACAGCGAAAAAGGGACTGCAGCGAACCGGATAAAACTCTTTCCAGTTTCCAATTGCTGTAGCGCCTCATCTACTTACCAGTTTTAATAACTACAAATTTCCACAAAGTATCCAATTAACGTTTATAAAACACACGAAATTTAGTAATTTCTTTATAACTATACTTTACACAAACAAATTTATTGAACTGCACTTTTTTTCTCTACTCTTTGAACTTTATTTTATCACGGCGCTCAGCGCTATGTAACGATCGTGTTGACGCAAATTTAACGACTGAGCGACTGAGGCGCCCACCAGGCTGCTTTGTACTCGATCGCAGGAGAAGCGGCACAGTGGGCAATGTTTAATAAATACTCACTCAAATGCAATACGGCTGCAGAGCAGGTATTGTGTGAGAAAGTTTAAGTATTTAAACTTGTAGAGCTTAATAAATAGTGCTCCGCACTTTAAATCTAATTACATTATTTTTCTGAAATATGTTATTGTAAACTAAGAACATAACAATTAAAATTGAATGCAAGCTTACAATATTTATATGATTGAATTTAGAACAAAGGAGTAAACATAATATACATTTATATATCTTTTGCCCACGGTGCGGCATTGGCAGCTGTGCTCTTCAGTTGTTGTTTTAGCTAAGGGAAGCTGCTCCAGGCGCCTTTGGTCTGCTTGTGCATTAGCGCGAGTGAGATGACAATTGAGACTGTTGTGTTGTTCGGCACAAACGGTTAAAATTCAAATAACAATTCAAAGTAAAAACGACGTTAGGCAAACCGGTAAATGACGCTTTTAGGGTAAAACGAATGCCAGGAGAGAAGAGAGTTGAGCTGATGAGCATACTTTTTGACAGCTTAGACAAATATTCCATAGCTCAATTGAGGCTTTTTTTGTACCTTTTATTGCTGTTGTTATGAACTCATCCACTTAGATTTATTACGAAATGGAGCAAAAAACTCAAAAGACAGTACACATCTGTATGTATGTACGAGTGAGTAGGAGAATTGAGCGACTTTTTCGCTAGCTTATCTGTGAATGCAGCAATGTTAACCTTAAAGCAATAAATCAAGAAATAGCAAAGTGCACATAGTTGACTCGAGATAACTGTTACTTCTATGGTTTATGGCTGTACATACTTATTGACAGTGCAAGTGCACTGAACCCAAAAGCACTGAGACTTAATAAGCTGAGACCCACGCTGAAACAAAAATTAAACAAAGTGCCAGCGAAATTTTCCACCTACACGCCCAACACTCAATTAATTTACCTTTCTTCTTTCTCATTAGACCAAGAGGTCAACACAGTTGAAATTTACTACATGTACATGTATATATAGAGTCTATTTGTATGTATGCGTGCAAGTAGCATGTATGTATGTAAGATGTGTAACAAATCAAATTGAGATCACATAAAAGTGAAATTTGATCGAACTGCTGTAAAACTTGAAACTGCGCATACGCAGCAGGGCGTGGCGGGGCGGGGCGGTAGCTTAAACACGTTTAGGTGCGTAGACAGACGTTATCAGTGGGGCGCCAAAAAACAAATTGCGCGACAATTTTCATTTTCACTTGACGGTCATAAAAATAAAACATGCGATCAATTCGAATTTGCATTTCTTTTTCTTTTTTCATCATTTATTAATTGGCGCCGCCGGAGCAAACGCGACTGAGCGGGTGAGAAGAACCGAGAGGGAAGCTTAAGCGCTGTTTTGTTTCCCCCGCTCAGACGCCGTTTTACCTTTTGCGGTTGAACAAAAGCAGAAAGCAAAGCGCCGCTTGAAACAAAGATGCTGCCCGCGGCTGATTCACAATGAAACAAAAACAACAACTGCAGTAGCAGCAGCAACAACAACAAAGAATGGGAGGCAATAAAAACCGTAATTGACATACAATGTGCGCTGGTGGCATTAAAAATTGCCACCCGAGATCAGCGGCTGCTGCGCCTTATTTGGCAGTGGCTCAAGGCAAAGCTGTTTTTTTATACCCAGCGAGTCCATCCGGGTTTATAACGCGACCCCAAGTCAACGAAACTCTGCGCCGAAGTCCTTTTGGATTATCATAAAACAAAAAAATGACAAAAAATTCATAAATACTTATAAATTCATTAAGGTAGATAAACTCAGTGGATTCGCATTGGAAGCGCAGTGTTTAGAAAGAGGGAAAGATAGACAGATTGGAATTTACAGTTAGAGAGAGCAAGAAAGAGAACACAAATATGCAGACGATGTAGGCTGTAAGTTCGATTGCAATCAAGAGAGGGGAAGGGGAAGCTGCGAGTTGTTGGCGATAATAATTCTGTTTAAAATATTTATTAGTCATTATAAATAAAAATTATTAAAATAATGATAATAAAAGCTATTATTATAATAAAATATAATGAAATAATAATAGTATTTATAATAAAATATAAATATATACTAAATTTATATCTATATAAATATATATATATATATATATAAATATTTATAGATAATTACTTGTATTTTTGTATGTGAATAAGTCATTGATATTGATTTCTCAGCTACATTTTGGGCATGAAAATTTTCGATAATTTGTTTTTTCTTGCGTCAATTGCGAACAGTGCGGATTCCAGTACACAAAATGTTCCCTTATTAAAGCAAAATGATTCTGCGACATGTCCTGCCAGCCCGCCGTCCGCCTCACATCATCCATATTAACCTTTATAAAATCAATTGTGCGTGCTTTCAATTGGTTGGCATTGTATAAATCAGCGAACACCAATGTTTCGGCGGCATTTTCAATGCTCAGAGTGGCAACTAGAGACTTCTCACACATGGCCTTGAGTTTAGGGAGAGAATATTTCTGACTTGCCACCAGTAGGTCCCTGGACATCTTATCCAAATTGGGCGCGTGGTCAGTGTAAATGAATCGTAGCATTTCGGTTTGGACCTCCGGATCCATGTCGTCTATGGTCACAACACCCCTTTGATTTTCTTCCGTTGCACTGCTGAACATGGCCTCGAAAACCGGGCTGCGAGCTGTTAAAACAATTTTCGTTTAGTTAACGGGTCATCTTATTAAATGGCCAACATGAGATCCGGCTTACCAGCAAGTATATTCTTGTGTGCATATATTTCCATTCCTTTGGTTACGATCTTAACATCACTGAATTTCGGATTGTTAAAGAGCTTACCGAAATTGTCCGATATTTTGGAATCGGGCACATCGATGGTCTGCGTTCGGCCACTGGTGCTGACCGTATCCGTCGGCAATATAATCTCACAGAATATGCTCAGCTTGTCGTTCGGCAGGTAATTGTTGGTCTTATCCAAAAGTTTATAGCAATTAATGAATGTATTGAAAGTTACAATTGCCTGATGACTCATCGTGAACATTCTTCTTTGTTCCGTTTCCTCGTGACTCATTATAGAACATCTGACTATAGTTTTTTCTGTCGAACCATCCCATTCAACTAAATTTAGGGTCAACGTCAAATATTCTCTGCCCCTGAATTCCTTATCGTTGACCGTAAGCTCGAGATACCATTTTAGTTTATTACTTTGGTCAACGGGAAAAACGCACGATATCCATTTATTTTCACCTTCCCGTGTCACGCTAAAGTTCTCTATATTCCAAGTATGCGTAATTTTCGAAAATTTGGTTTGCAAATTGGTCCAATCGTCCGAATGGACTTCACTCATTCGGCTTCTTTTCACTGCAGACATTAGTCTCCTGGTCGGCGAATATTCAAGTATCTATGGAAAAGGTTTTCACTAGTATTTTATTTAATGCTTGATTTTATGTACTTCACACAGATCGCTCTGCTTATTAGTAGAGCTGGAAAACAATCGATGGGACAATCGATTATAGAGATTTTCTTGGTATTTTGCGAACTATCGATGAGTTTTTTGGAACCAATGTTTTCCAAGCTCTAACACTTTCTGAACAAAAGAGAGCGATAAGTTATAGCACTAACCATACAACGCATTGTTATAATTTTCATTTTTAAATTATTGATACTGTCGATGTTTTGCTTAAAAGCAATCGAAAACATAGAAGATCTCAGATATCGATGTTTTCCCAGCTCTAGTTTACGTCATTGTTGCCTGCTCTTTATACATTTATGCGCTATTGTGATCGCATTTGGCAAGTAAGAGGAAGAGCTTTGCAGTGACTGGCAGCAGCTATAAGAAGCAGAATGCTGCATAGAAATTCCAATTTGTTAGCAGTGCAAGCCTTGACGACATTTTAATGAACTAAGTAAATCAGTTATAAATTATTAACATTAAATTTGTTAAAATATATGTAAAAATACATAAATATAAAAATTATATATATCTCCTTTAGATATGTGAGAGTATTAAATATTCGGCACTTTGAAGTATTGGATAGTAGCATGTCAAACAAAAGTCGATTTATTTCAATATATCAAAAAATAATAACTAAAAAATCTTTATAAAAACAAGAGAATTTCCAGGTCTATTCATTCAAATCTTTTGAAAACTCTATATATGTACTATATACTATACTATTTTTATAAAGCGTTTGTTTTAGTTTATAATACTGTCAGATTGTGAGTGGTTTTCCAAGAAGTATTCGTGTTTTCTATACGCGAGTACATTTGTATTGAATTTTGATTTCTCACCCACAGTTTTAGTATGAACATTTACGATAATTTGATCTTTCGTTCGTTGTTGCGGAAAGTTCGCATTCTAAAAATTTGCCTGTATTACAGCAAGATGATTCTGCGACATGTAACGCCAGCCCTCCGTCCGCCTCACATTATCCATATTAACCTTTATAAAATCAATTGTGCGTGCTTTCAACTGGTTGGCATTGTATAAATCAGCTAACACCAATGTTTCGGCGGCATTTTCAATGCTCAGAGTGGCAACCAGAGACTTCTCACACATGGCCTTGAGTTTCTCGAAAAAATATTTCTCACTTGCCGCCAGTAGATCACTGGCCATCATTTCCAAATTGGGCGCGTGGTCAGTGTAAATGAAACGTAGCATTTCGATTTGGACCTCCGGATCCATGTCGTCTATGGTCACAACACCCCTTTGATTTTCTTCCGTTGCACTGCTGAACATGGCCTCGAAAACCGGGCTGCGAGCTGTTAAAACAATTTTCGTTTAGTTAACGGGTCATCTTATTAAATGGCCAACATGAGATCCGGCTTACCAGCAAGTATATTCTTGTGTGCATATATTTCCATTCCTTTGGTTACGATCTTAACATCACTGAATTTCGGATTGTTAAAGAGCTTACCGAAACTTTCCGATATTTTGAAATCGGGCACATTAATGGTCTGCGTTCGGCTACAGGTGCAGACCGTATCTGTCAGCAGTAAAATCTCACAGAATATGCTCAGCTTATCGTTCGGCAGGTAATTGTTGGTCTTATCGAAGAGTTCACAGCAATAGATGAATGCATTGAAATTTACAATGGGCTGTTCACTCATCGTGAACGTTCTTCTTTGTTCCGTTTCCACGTGACTCATTATGGAACATCTGACTATAGTTTTTTCTGTCGAGTCATCCCATTCAACTAAGTTTAGGGTCAACGTCAAATATTCTCTGCCCCTGAATTCCTTATCGTTGACCGTAAGCTCGAGATACCATTTTAGTTTATTACTTTGGTCAACGGGAAAAACGCACGATTTCCATTTATTATCGCGTTCAAATACCACGCTAAAGTCCTCTATACTCCAAGTATGCGTAAACTTCACAGTTTTTGTTCCAGTATTGGTCGAATCGTCCGAATTGTGCCGATCGTCCAAATGGAAATCAGGCACTCGTATTCTGTTCATGACAAACATTCTCCTCATGTGCGAATCCATATTTTATTAAATGCTTGATTTTATGTGCATCACGCATTGCACATCGCAAACTACGTCATTGCTGCCGGCTCTTTATACTTTTATGCGCTATTGTGATCGCATTTGGCTAGCAAGAGGAAGAACTTTGCAGTGACTGGCAGCAGCTATAAGAAGCAGAATTCTGCGTAGAAATTGCACTATGTTAACGGTGAAAGCCTTGCCGACATTTAAATTAACTGCGTTATATATGATTAACATTTCTGTTAAACTGGCTGCTTTTACATTTTCATTTTAAATTGTAAAAATATAGCTATATATAGCTACTTTAGATATATACTACTACTATATATATAGCTACTTTAGATATATACTACTACTATATATATAGCTACTTTAGATATGTAAGAGTATTAAATATTCGGCACTTTAAAGTATTGGATATTAGCAGGTCAAACAAAAGTTGATTTATTTTAATATATGTATAAAAAATAATAATTAAAAAATCATAATAAAAACAAGAGAACAGAGCAGAATATCCAAATCTGTTCATTCAAGTCATTTGAAAACTCCATATATATATTTATGATATATATCGTATATATGTACATATATATATGTATATATACATTTTTCCTATTTCTTATATTGTAAGTTTGTTAGTGGTTTTCCAAGAAGTAATCGTGTTTTATATACTTGAATATGTTTTTAACAAGATTTCTAGAATTAAGGTGTATTAGTGACAAGACTTTAGAAAAATTTAGAAACTCACAGATCAAGCCAAATAAGTTTTCTGTTGTGGGCTACTGTGCCTGGTTAAAAGGATTATTCCAGTTGTTTCCAATGGGAGCATGCATCTCCTCGACGCCATCAAGAACTGAATCCAGCTGTGTCAAAATCGAGTTCCAATCGTTGCCGGGCATCTGATCAGTCGAGTTAGCTGAATTAAATTGTTGCGCTGAGCCGCAGGCTTGATCAATTGGAAATCTGTTGAAGTTGAGATTCAGGCATATGCTGCCAAAGCAGTAGGATATGTAGCCGCCGCAGGCGCCAAGCTTGCGCATGGAATCGTCATCTATGGCCATGGACAGGTGCAGAATATGATCATTGACAGCTCTGCGCATTATTCTCCACTGTCTGGTTTTAATGGGATTTTGTGCGTTTATTAATGCCAGCACTTTGTCGTCTGGCAGCTGCGCACTATTTGGAAAGTAGCCATCGATCAGATTTCTTGGAATGTGCCTTTCCTCCAGCAGCTCTATGTTCAATCCGCTCTCGTTCCGTATATGAGCGAAATTGTGCCGCACCCAGTCGGCCGTCATTCGGTTGGCGCAGACGAGCAGCAGCCACTCGGACTGCGGCGCACAGTCCTCGAATTGTGGGAACACATTCGGCGTTCTGTGGCTGACGGTCACCTCCAGTATCACCTGCTGCAGCCTGGCCATGTGCTCGGCCGTGAGTGGAGGCGATCTGTTGGTCGCTATGAAGGCCAGTTTGATTTGACTGCAGCATCTCGTTGACGGCGGCTTCTTAGCTTCCTTTGCCTCTGCTTTAGCCTTTGCTTTCCTCTCTGCTTTCTTCTCAGCTTTCTTCCTAGCTTTCTTCTTTGCTTTCCTTGTCGCTTTGAGTTCGGCTGACTGAGAACGCTTTTGCTTCGGCTGTGCCTTAGCCGCCGCACCGGACCGTCCATTGGTAATGGCTGCTTTGATGCGTTGCTTCTCCTGTTTTGTCAGTTTCGCCAAATCTACTTTGGTGTCTTCCTGGGCCGGCGTTTGCGTCTCTCCTGCATGTTCAAGTTTCGGCGGCTTTGCGTATAAATCGAAATCCTTGACTTCCTTTTTGATACTGCTGGCATCCAAGAAATGCTGCGACATTTTATAAATTCTATTTCTGGTTGAGTTTTAATTTAAACATAAGTAATTATTCAATTTCTATATACAATTTGAAAGCGTGCTCATGCACTATTGTGACTGCATTTGGCAAGTAAGAGGAAGAGGTTAACAGTGACTGGCAGAAGCTATAAGAACCAGAATTCTGCATAGAAATTGAAATTCGTTAACAGTTCAAGGCTTGGTGAAATTTAAATTGACTACAGATTATAAATTATTAACATTTGTTTGAAACTGACACTGCCGACTGCTTTGGCTATTTCATTTTAAATTTTTTTACTGTTTTTGTAGAGCTTTGATTTGGATATATAAAATATTCGAATAAATTACATATTTTTCAAATTAAACAACTTAAAAATTATCTTAAATTAAAAAAAAACATCCCTTAAGCTGCACTAACAAATTACAAAAAAAGTGTAGCATTTTGTTCATGATTAAAGACAACATAAATAATAATATTTATAAATTATAATATTAAAAATATTTATATTGTCTTTGGTATTACAGCATATACCATACGAAATGGAAAAACATGCATTGCACTTATTTATATATAAACTATATATAAGCTAATTATTAGATTCAATTCCTAATTGTATCAATAATACTTTGCACTATTTAAAAACTACCATTTGCCTTTAGTAAAACTAGTTTTTCTATGGGGTAATCGGCGGGATCAGATCTTCTTAAATATCTGTTAATATGCACAAGCGATAAGACGCGTTCAACTGGCGCTGATGAAGTTAAAGGCGTATTATACTTTAGCGCCAAGTCATGGAGTAGAGGATACTTTTCCAGTATCTCAAATGTTGTGCCCGTATCCCGCAGGTAGCTATGAAATTGTGCCTCAACATCATCCATAAGTTTTGTTGCAGCCGGCAACGGCGACGGCTGCGACATGTCCAAATCGCTCGTCTCACAGCCATCATCTGGGGATAATAATTGAAAGGTTTAATATGGGATAATCATAATCAAGCTTATGTGAATCTACCAGTTTCATCAAATTCATAGAAATCGTCTTTTTCCTTTGGGTAAGCTGATTCCATTGCACTTTGATAAGCATTCTCTGTAGCTTTGGCATGCCGCACTGCCTCGGCAATAACTATTTTATGTATGTCGTCAGCGCTGCGATCTTGGGACGAGACTTTGGCTAGGGCATTGAACCAACGCATTTTAACGCTTGGACATAGAACTGATGCTATAATTGCATTATTCGCATCCTCAGCGAGGCGAAGATATTTCGCAAAACGTTCCTTTAATTTTAGCTGCAGCTCAAGCGCCACAATTTTCAGATCGATAAGCTCTGAGGAATCCGACACCCTTTTTAGCTTAACGCAAAGGGATGTCAAGGCGGGTATGAGACAGCCATAAAACAAATTGTTATCCATCCGCAAAAACTCAATGGTCGATGCAATGGGACACATTAGTATTCGATATTCCTCCAGATATTGTATATCGCTTGCCGAGAAGCACGAATTGTGCAAAGACAGTTTGCTGCAGAGTTCAGCCAGTTTTTCCTTATGTGACAATATGCAGCAAATGGCATCATATATGGAATTCCAGCGAGTTATGGTGGGAATAATTAAAGCTTCGCCTAATACTGCTGCGATAGTCTCTGCTGACTTGGAGCAATCGCATTTACGCCACAACGAACTGCATTTCGCAAAAATCTAAAAGAATCTACAATTAAACAAATATGTTTGCTGGCACTAAATATTTACATTACCCTTGTATGTCGCTCCTTCAGGGCCCTATCCATGGAGAGGAGATGCACAAAATCTGTAGATGCTAGAACATTTAGCGTATGGCTTGCACATCGAATATGATTTGGTAAAACATTGCACGTTAATTCTATTGAGTTCGCATTAGCCTCGCAATCGCTTTCATACTCATGCACATATTCATTTTTTATATCTTTGCTATTGATGCCGAATTCTTGAAAGGCTCTTGAGAAATCTGAAAAATTGTGCGTTACTGTGGCCACAATCTTCAGATTATTGAGCTCGTAATCGTTGTTAATGCTGCTTATCACTTCCAATATCTGAGCATAATCACCCGAGAATCTTTTGCAGGCTAAAGCAACTGAATTCCTTTGGTACTTGTGGTCCAGCCAGTGGCAGGTATAGCCGAAATAGCTGCAGTCTCTAGTTGGCCAGATATCGGCGGATGTGCATACATATTTTTTTGTGGCAATCACATTTTTAATGCTGTTGACAATCTGCGCAAAGCGCGCATCCAGACGCATTTCCAGTTTGGAGCGACTAACGAGCCGCAAATTGGTGCCCTTAAACAAATTACGAAAACTATCCGTTTCGACAATTGACAGAGGCGAAGCCGTGTCTATTATATAGCACATGACTCTATGATCGAACGATTCGGTTTCTTGTGCTTCTGGCGGTTCGGTAATGCCGCTCTGCTTGGCTCCTATGAATGCAGCATGGATTTCCGTATGCTTCAGACGCAAATGCTTTATGAAATTTGAGGTAACTGTCACGAAGCCTTTGATGCGACTGTGACACGCGTTGCAGGTAGCACTTATTGCACCCGGTTTGGCACTGGACTCCTGCACCTAAAAGCATTTATATAATACGTTAGAGTAGAGTAATATGTTTTATATTTTACCATGCTCACCCTCTCGATGTTGCCAAAAAATCGAAATATTTCTGGCAATTTCATCTGTTTCTTACGTTTTGCTGACACATTTTCCGCACTCCTCTTGCCAAGGCGCTGCATGGGAGTAAATTTTCGTTTTCGAACTGAATCATGCGGGTCCATATCATATTCGGATATATACTGAAGGAGTAAAACAATAAGCAATTATATTCGAATGGCTGCAGTAGCAATAATTAATGGTAATTATAATAATGAGGCACAGCAGATAGAAAAAAAAACTGTTAGCTTAATTAGAATTTGTGAGAGTATATATTGAATAAAAGTATGGATAATGAAGTTAAGTAATTGCTAGCAGACTAATTACTTTTACCAAGGCCCAAGCAAATGTGAGCTTTTAATCATTTGAGAGGTACAAAATATAAACAATTAATTCGAAACGTCCCACAGAGAACAGAAGCACGTACATACCTCCGTTTCCTCAGAGCCAGTGTCTAGCTGTTCCCTTGGCGCTTGCCAATTGGCCATTGCCTCGCTGCTCTGCCAGACTACGTCCGGATGTTCCTGCTCAATCTTAATGCCAACCTTTGATGGGCTGCTCTGCGCCAGTTGCCAGTTTAATTGCTCGGTTGCAAATTCTCTGGTTGCATTGCAGTCCAGAGCTTCTATCTTGATGCTGCTCACATCCGTCATTTTGCCGATGTTTAACATTGTTGTTAGCTCTTATTGTTGCTTAAACATACATGTTTCACAATGCACGCAAACGTATTTAAAAAATGTTTTAAAATATTAATCAAGCACTCAGTTAATAACAATTATGTGCTGTTGTCAACGGCATGCCAACTTGCGCTAAATGATGTATTGATGGGAATGAGCGCAGTGAATGGCAAAAGGTGTAAGAAGAAGAGCCGTTTACAATGCGCGCCATTATAGAAATTCAAATTGCGTAACAATGCAGCGAGAATAAAACTGTGATGCGAACTATTTTGATAGCAATTCATGCCGAATGCAATTGTTTGTACTATAGATATATATGTATATATATTAAATACAAAATTAATGGTAAAGCTTTATTTTGTATACATTTTTTATCGTGTTCCATAGGCCAGGGAAATTTCATTTATGAAATTTTAAAAATTTCTTAACATCGTGGCCAAATAGTTAAGGAGCCAAGTTTAAAAATATCGTGCTGTCAACAGCTTTCGGCGCAATGCAGTTGCTTTTACCAGCTACTATTAGGTTTCCAGCTAAATTGCGTATACCCTGTGTAGCTGCAATGGATGCGGGTATGGAAAGTATAAAAAATGCCAGCTTTGATAAATAGGGAAAATTCGTTTGGTTTTGCTGCCACCAGGTCATGACATCAAAATATCGGTCATATTCCTCTATATGGCTTGAGTAACGCTCAATTTCATAGTTAACCCAATCATCAAGTGAAAGCTTGGGCGTATGGATTAGGTGAGAGAAGAAAAACTTGAAATCAGTATATTTATCTTCGGGGTTAGAGGAGTCTATTGATTGCATCGAAGTATTTGAATTGTCTTCGTTTAAATCTCTCGATTTCCAGGCATTCGTATTATCTTCTTTAATATCATTCAAATTGGAATCTATTGTTTGAGTCTCCGTATCAGACTTTTCTTTTTTTATATTATTTGAGCTTAGGCTGAGACGCTCTAAAATTTCTTTTCGGCAAAATGCTTTTGCCCCTTCGTGCTTGTCCTCTATGTATTCCTTTGCGGGTGGATATAAAAAATTAGCGACTCGGTGATAGACACTCAACTTCGAAGTCCACACACTTAAGTTACTTAAAATATTTTGTTTAAACTCAGCAATTGCCGCAATATCATTCGGATCTACTGTACAAAGTACTTTCAATTTGTTTATCGATGGCAGGACAAAGCACAGCGAAGGATAACTGGCGTCCTGTAATTTATGCGATATTGTATCGAAATCTTGGTATAATCTGAGTAGGGACTGAATTGTGCTTATATTAATATCACCAAGTAGAGCATCTTGATTTGAGTCCGCAAGTATCTTTGTTATTTTTAACCAATGCTCTGTTATAAATTTGAACATAACAAAATTTGAATTCCAACGTGTCGTGCACGGACTTCTCAATATTGATGGTAAATTATGATAGCTATTCGAATTTTTAAAATATTTTACCAGCTTTTTACAATTTTGAATTATCCCCTTCAGTTCGCTTGAGGCATCTTCCGCGAGCTCCAAAACATTTGAAAGCAATTCGCTGGAACAATTTATGCGTGTCAAATTAGACAAAGGTTTCCTTTTCTCGTCTTCATTCTCAGTTACAAATATCAGTTTATCAAGATCCTTGATGCCGAATTCGGCCAACATATTTTTTAATTTACTGAGAATGATTTCGTCGTTTTTTCGACCCAAGTCCATGGACTTAATACCGAGTGCAATGTTTTGCAGCCTGTTGTCTTTTTGAAAGTGAAGACTAGCACATAGAAAATTACGCTTTACATACATATCTGTCCACATGTCCATGGTGACGGAGGCTTCAATTCTGTTGTCAATTCTCTGCTCCAAATATGCTTTCATCTCTGTTTTTTTCATTTGCGCCGTTTTGTTCAGCTGGCGTGAAATGGTTCCCGCTTCGGGTAGCAAATCATCTATTTTTATATTCTCACCGTATTTTGCGCCGATTTGTACAAGAAACTTGGCCAGCTTATGAAAACCAGCACCTTCTATAATGCTATAGGGACGGCAGTCAGCAATTATCCACTGAGCGCAAGCCTCAAGAGCTGCTTTCTTATCCTCTATTGTTATGGGCTTATGGTCCTCCACGCCGACATAGAAACATCTATGCCGATTCAGATTTGATGTATGTTTGCCATCATATTTAAAGAGTCGATTGCATTTACGGCAACACAGATAACCATCCAGAATGGTGCCATCGGATTTGCGTACATCTGCAAATAGATCCCAAACAGGGCTTCTGCCCATGCGCTTGGGTAGGAGCACGTATGTTCCGTTTCGTATTTTCTCCGAAATATCGTTTGGCGTTTCCATTCTGGAAAACAAAAGGGAAAATCATAATTATAATAAGCAAATATTATTATAAATATAAGCACTTATCAATTTATACATACTTTTACACATAAACTTATTATATATACCTATTAGATTTGTATGCTCATCTGTCTAAAAACTAAATATATACAAATTATTATAACAATACATTTAAAATTGGCAATAATGTACAAATTTATTAAAAGCTTACACATAATTAAAAGAAGAATACTAACTAAGGACAATAAAAATATGCTATTTCTTAAAACATTTGATCGCCTCCAGCTTTTTCAATTCGATTTCCTCCATTCTTTTGAAATGCTGTAGCATTACGTTCGTCTGCTCGGCCATGTTGGAGCGTATTGCGTCCAAGCTATCGGCAACGCGCGTCATTAATGCATTTTGCGCAGTACAGAGCTCCTCCAGATTTTCCGTGTGCCGATTGCGTTTGCGGTTCTTGTCCGTAGCATCTTCATCCAAATCTGCGGATTGATCACATTTCGCTTTGTCAGCGTTATCTTTGATTGATTTCTTGGGCAGGTCCATGGATGTGCTGTTATTTCGCTCATAGACGTCGACAATTTCATAGGAATCGCACAACTGGGCCAGCGTGTCGCCCGTGGGCTGCAAGCTAGGTGCACCGCTAAAGGAATAACGACGCTCGGGCCTTGCACTTGGCATGTCGTCGTGCTCGCTGGGATAACCAAAGGATTTGCCGCATCTAACTACTTCCACCTTATCGTAGAAGCCGCACAATTGAGCAATTGTCTCCTCGGCGGGCGTTAGGACCACATGCTGGGTACCGCCTCCAATGCCAGCTGAGTCCTTTTTAATGTGCAATAGCTTCTTTTTAATGGATATCTTCCAGTCCGACCAGACCTGTAAATAATGTATGCATTAATTTATGAGACATCTCGAAATCCAGAAAGTATCTATATTCAGGATATGTTATCTGCTTCTATGGGAATTTGTATCTCAGCTGATAAGCTTTCTGTTGCAGTCAGTCGGAATCGGCCGGATCAGAGTACTATATCATACAGCTGCCATAGGAACAATCGGTCGAAAATTAAGTTCTGGTATGATGAATTTTATAGTTCGTCATGATATCTTGACCTAATCCTGCATTCACTTCCTCCTTAAGCCAAATCTTTCTAAGATCGTATTTCGGTTGAAAAATGAGTTTTAATACGGAAAAAGTTTGGTTTTTTTCTAGATATCTTCACCAAATTCGACAAGGGTATTTAATTTTCGGCCTGTCCAAGATATGTGCTTCTTTCATTTGTATTTGTTTTGATTTGCCTTAATACCTTTTTCCAGGAAGATACATTTTTGAATGGCGGTCCCTCGGCGTTCAAATCCACTGAAAGACTGCACCATTTTGCATCGACGACAAAGCGTTCGCCTTTGAAGAGTCCTTTGGCAATGTCCGGATGTTTTGTCATGAATGCGATGAGTATATTGCCCTGCTCTCGGTTTTTGTGTGTGCGCCTGAAAAAAAACTGAGTGTAGTTAGTAAATGAGACCGTGAAATTGACATTTAACTTACATTTTTGATAGTTAGTTTTTTTTGTATTTATATCAATTGTGCCATTGGCAGTGTTGCACATTGCCAAAAGCAAATACTTTATTTTATTTAGATATTATTTTTATTTTTTAGCAGGGCACAGTGTTTGTTTGTTTACACAACCAATTTATTTACATAAAATAACACAACTCTACATTAAAGATAGACAGATCGACATGTTTACATTATATTGCATCAATTTTGTTGTTGCCAATTTAGTCACGGCGTTATACAGCACTGTGCGCACAAATTATTATCCTGATGCCACCCCCAAAACAATTCAAAGGCGGCACCGAATTTACGTGTGCCACACATTTTTTCTTGAAAATATATGTACGCAAATCAATATTGTTTAATTATACACCAGGGCAAGCTAGAGAAATTTGAGAGAGAAGTGGATTCACTTGGCAAAATGAGGGCGGAAATTAGAAAACGGTACAGTTGGCGGAATTGCATTGCCGCAAATTCGTACCGAAACGGGAAATAAATCCGCAACTAAACTATGATTAAAGGCATAGAGGGCATATATGTATATATAGAAACACAACTGGTAGACTATGTTAGAAATTGCAACTACAAAGAGACAGCACTGCAGATCGATCAGGCTCGATATATGTTTATATACAAATGCACACGTATGTAACGTAGGTAGCTTAAATTCTCACTCACTTCTTTGGTCGATCTTGCTCGATGCGGGTCTTCTTGGATGGCGTCTCCGTCTCCTCATTGCTCTCATAGTCTGTGCTTATGTCCTGCTCAATTTTGATGGGTCCAATGTCGAGATGCGCCGCCGCCGCCAGTGGGTCATCCGTATCCTCGCAGTCATTGTGCGGCAATATCTTGCGGGCTTTTGCTATGCTGGCCATTATTCGATTTTCACCACTCAAGTATTTGTCGACCGACTAAATGCCACAGCGGAGCCCGTATGCTTTGTTTTTGTCAGCGAATTCGCAAATGCAGTACTGCAATTTCTCGGCGGCTGTGTGCAGCTCGATAACTCGAGTAAATTATCGATAACAATCAGCTGTCACTGTAAGAGAGGGAGAAAAAAAACCTATCAACACATATTTCAAAAATATGTTATTATGTTATTCAGTAACATTTATTTGATGTGTTAAAAACTGTAAATTAGAATGAGATGGTGTATTTTATTAATAAAACAAAAAATACATATCTCTACAGAATACAAAAAATATATAAACTATTTCAAAAGTAGATACTTACAAATGGTATTCTATTTGTTGTTCAGTTTGTTAGTAATTGTAGGCAGTTAATGCATTGTTGTATATAAATACAATATATATAATGGATATTGACATATTAGACATCTAGACATATTAAAATAATACTTATGTTGGATACGATACGAGACTGTAAAATATTCGGCAAGCTGGTAACACTGACGTTTGTGTTTTGCTGTGAATGGCTTGCAGGCTGGCAACTGCCTGGCAAATTTGCCATGTACTACTCAGCAATAAAATTATAAAAATTTTCTTAACTAGCTTGAATAATGGAAAAGAAATAATATTAGTTTTATCTATTGATTTTGCTCGGTCCTGATTCGATCGAGCAGCAGCATTGTCACCGCCATTTCGGCATTTCGAGCTCCTGTTGATGACAATCTACCCAACAAGCTGTCCCAGTACTGAAGAGCCGGCAGGTTTCTCAAGGTTAGTTGGGAAGGACTCGCAGATGAGTGTGGATGCAACACAATTTTCTCAGGTTTTTTAAGCGATCCCTCAATCGTATTATCCGGCTTATATGACTTTCTCGCGCCTTTTGATTTGCGCAGCTTTTCTGGCGAGAATCGTGTCTGGTGTAAAAGAATATTTATAATACAAGTCCATTCTTATGATCTGAGATAGAGTCATATCTTACACATAAATTCTTGTACGATGTCAACGTGGAGCTGCTGTCATCTTCACTCGCAAATCGTTTTGCCAGTGGAAATCCTTGAGGCAGTATTTTCTCATGATTTTGAAGAGGCAGCTCAATTGGATCGTCTAGTTTATGTGACTCTCTCGGTCCTTTTAATTTCAGCATATTTTCCAGTGGAATTTTAGCCTGAAGTTAACGAATATTTATAATAAACGTGCGTTCATTTGGTTTATGTTTGTTATCGTCATATCTTACACATGAATTTGCATTCGATGTAAAAGTTGAACTGCTGTCGTCTTCATGTGTGCTCGCAGGCGACGCGTTGCAGGACTCAGAGGATGAGTCCCCAATAATTCTATAATGAATATATTTTTTTAAATTGAAGGGTGCGTCTATTTAATAAGTATATAAATCCTACCCTCGGTGCTTGGTAAAATTGGGCAAAAACTTCATATATGAACCAAACTCCCAATTGGCTTCGCTGGCTTGAGCACCAGCTATTGTGCGACTGCAATTGAATCTCTTTTGATAGTATTTAAAGCTGGCGCGCAGCGATGCCCAGGCAGACCTGCAGTCCTTTGCTAAAACAGACAATTTAATAGTCGATTTAATATGCGCAAGCATAATTATTAATTATTTACTTTCTTTGTGCAGTTCGGCGGTGACGCTCTGCCATGCACGGCCAACCGTATATCCATCGTAATGCTGTTTATGATTCATGTCCCAAATCACTGGCCTCACCTCGATGGCTTTAATTAGCGCAATTGTTTCGTCAATTGTGAAATTCTTCATTCGGGTTCTGCGTTCCAATGTGCCCGAACGGTTGTGGCGCCTTGTATCAAAAAGAAATTAATAAATGTAACTTATTTGCCCAAGCTTACAATTCAAATGCCTTTATGCTCGTTTATCCAGGTGCATGGCAAGTTTACCACCCAGTTAGCCAGCAGAAGCATCTGGTATAATAGGCAGCTATAGCATGCACATTTAAATACAAGATCTTCTTAAATTAAAATCACATTTTCGTGTGGTCAACTAAAGTACATTTGTGTTTATTTGTTTACTAATTTTGTATTCAGTATTCAATTTACGTCAGCATCAGCATATTTATGTAATATACTTTCTTTTCTATCTCTTATTTAAAGTCTAGTTTGGCTTTTATCTGTTTGACTTCGATCTCCAAGAGCTCGATGCGCAGTTTACGTTCTCGCGCCTCATCATCCAACTTGCTGCGTCTTTCGAGCATTTCCATATCGTGTTTTTCCTGCGCTCGCTCATTCTCGCATCTGCAGAAATTCTGCTGCAGCTGCAGCAGCTTCACTTTTTCCTCCTCCAAGCTACGTTTGCTTGTTTCAGGAACTTTTTGCGGCATTTTCTTTTTGAGAATTGGAATGCGCACGGTGCCAGTGTTACATGTGGCCCACCTGGAACTCGTGCTTGTCAGATCATCTTCTGATAGCGTAATATCGTTATTCTAAAATTTAAAGATGATTTCAATTTGCAAAGAAAAAATCAATATACAATTCTATTTGATGTGCCTTACATCATGATCCCCTCTAACGATATCATATAAATCCTCCTCAGCCTCATAGCTGTGCTCATTTTCCAGAGTGTCTGTTGAATGAATTTGTAATTTAAACTTTTTCAATGCTCTTTCATTCTCCACAACAAACAAACGATACTTACGGCCATCTGTCTCCAGTGCTTGCTTGAGGCACAGTGCAGCATCTCCGATCATGGCCACAATCTTCTCGGATACCGTGGATACTATGGGCGTGACCGGTTCACCGCCCATCCGCAAGCTGTGCGCCCGCTCTTTGGCCAGCTCCACTTTGGCTCTGCGTTTCATGTGTAGATATTTATCTCGTAATTGTCGCCATTCCCGCAGAACTCCCGTTTTGGCAACGAAATTGTTTGTCAGCTCTGCCCAGACCTCCTCCTTGTGCTTCCACGTGAAGGCGTCCGATTTTTTGTTATTCAGCACATCGTTTCGCTCCTCGACGAGCTCGACAAGTGTTAGCTCTTCCTCCGGCGAGAAATTTTTACCACGTTTTTTAATTTTTTCACTGGACATTTGAATTTTGAATTGAGATCACAATATAAACAATCAAAATCAGTTTATTGTTGTTTATTTACAAGCCTGGTCATTTATATTTTTATGACCTGCTTTATTAATTATCGTACGCGATTTGTTTGGTTTAACAATACGATAAGGAAAACGCATAGAAAGTAAATCCAGCTGAAAGTAAATCCAGCAGAAAGCTGCCATGAACTTTGCCAGGAACATGAGAAAACGGAGCATAAAATAGGCAGCTGTTAAACTTGTGAGTTATCGGAAAAATGCTGCACGTCTGAGGCAAATCCTCTTTTTTTTGCAACCTACTGCTTAGAGGGAAATATATTTCCGAATATTTCACACAAACTGTTGAAAACCTGACGTGCTCGCAAGTGGTACGCATAAGCCTGATCCATAAACAATAATTGTATTGTTTTGCTTGACTTACTTCTTTGGTTCCTGCTGCTCCGTTGTCCTGGCTATTTTAGCCGGCGTCTCCGACTCCTCGTTGCTTTCATCATCTGTGCTCGTGTCCTGCTCAACTTTTATGGGCCCGATTTCCATATCGTTCACTGTTAGCGGATCGGCTTTTTTATCTGTGTCCATATGCGCCAACTTTCGACGAGTTTTTGTAATGCTTGTCATTGCATTACATCGAATTTATTGTTTGCCTTGTGCAAAACTAATTCGAGCACAAACTGGCAAAACATAAATGCAATACTGCAGTTTCTGTGTGGCTGTAAAAGTTCGATAGGTTTTCGATGGAAAACAGCTGCCGCTGTTAAAAACGCAACAGTGCATTTATCTGTGTGCGCAAATGTTTGAATTGTTTCTTAAAGATTGCAACTTGCATAAAATGTGATGTTATTGCTTAGAATGCTTATTAAATTTTACATCATACAATATGCACAAAATAATAGATAATAATACGATGCTTATTTCACTTAAATTTATGCGCTACTAAATACTTAACATGCTGTTAACACTGTTGTGTACGTTTCGTTGTGACTGGCAAACAGCTGCGCTGCCCAGTGAATGTCTGAATCGGGTCAAGTGTACGTGGATTTTAGACGACTTTCACGACACCGACACGACAAACAAATTAGAAAATTAACAAATGTTAGTAGTGTAAACAGTAAACAATTCACAATAACAACTAGGATATGAAAGCAAACGTTTGACAACAACAAAATTAATATAAATTTATATTTTCTACAATAACTGCAAAACGGTCTATCACATTAAATGCGCCTGACTCAGAGCTGCAGATAAAACGAAAAGAAACCAGCAAAAGAGAGAGGCACAAACAATACGCTCGATAATTATTAATTATTGATAATGGCACCCACACGCAGGCCCAGCGACGGCCTGCTGGCGCGAGTCAATTTTCCGCTCTACGCGGTGGACATGCTCACCAGTCGCCACATTTTGGTTGCCGGCGGCGGCGGTTCCAGCAAAACAGGCGTCGCAAATGGCTTTGTAAGTGTGTCGATTATATCAAATTGGTCAACTATGCGGGCCATAAATATAGAAGAACCACACTCTTCAACACAGTTAAATGCAGCTCTCTAACTATGGCTTTTGGTTTAGGAAATCTACGAGCTGTATCACAATGGCAGCCACTTTTGTGCGGAGGAGGTGCTGCGCCACGAGACGGGCGCCAATGTGGTCATGAATTTTGCGGTTCGCAACAGCGGACGGCGAGCGTATCTGTGCGCCGGCCAGGAGGCGCACTGTCAAATGTATTTCGTTCAGCCACGCATCGCATCCGAGGATGAAACGGATCGGGACAGAAAGCCAGCGCCAGTCGAGCGTCCGCATGAGAATGGTGTGCGGCAGCGGGGCGCATCACATTCCGGCGTGGAGGCGCTACCCAATGGCCATAACAGACCCAGCAACAACAAACCGGCCACTGCTGACGATATCCTAAAGCAGTTCCAGCGTCTGCATTTCGATATCCAAGCGGCGGATGTGGTGCAAACGGATTTCCTGAGCAGCGCAGAGCCGTTGCAGCGCGTGGTGCGCATCAGTGGCAATGGACAGCTGATGGCCACGGGCGGCACGGACGGGCAGCTGCGCATCTGGAGCTTTCCACAGATTAAGCTGAGCGCCCAGCTGGCGGCGCATACTAAGGAAATCGATGATCTGGACTTTAGTCCCGACTGCAAATATATTGTGAGCATTTCGAAGGATGCGCAGGGCATCGTTTGGGATCTGAGCACGGGCAAGCAGCATCACAAGCTGCAATGGCAAACGCCAGAGGGTGCCAAATATTTGTTCAAGCGCTGTCGCTATGGCACCGTGGAGGCGCACAAGGATAACTACAGGCTCTACACCATTGCCAATCCATTCGGCAAGGTGGGCAAGCAACGTGGCTATCTGCAGCAATGGGATTGCGCGAGCGGTCAGCTGCGCGCCGCGGTGCCCATTGACGAGAGCCTGTCCTCTCTGGCCGTCAGGGACGATGGCAGATTTGTGGCCGTGGGCACCATGTTCTCGGGCAGCGTATCCATGTACATAGCGTTTAGTCTGCAGGTGAGCGGCGTCGTTTCGAAAGAATTTGCACTAGACTTTAACATGTCTTCTTTGCCTACTACAGCGTGTGCTGCACATTCCCCATGCTCACTCAATGTTTGTGACCGGACTACAGTTTCTGCCCATTACCAACGAGGAGGGACCGCCCATCTCCAGCGATACCGAGGCAGCTGTGCTCTCCATATCCGTGGACAATAAAGTTTGCATACACAGCCTGCCGCAGCGGCGTAAGTAGTTCTTGGAAATGCCCTCTAAATCAATACCAAATCTCATGCAACATTTCTTTGCAGGCACAATTCCCGCTTGGCTTGCCATTCTCTTCATGATCGTCATGATATTTGTGGTGTTTGTGTTCTGCTCGTATATTGGCATCTGAAGACTGCCTGGTCGACCAGCTAAATCAATTTGCATTATTAGTTCATAAACAATGTTTAGTTTTGCAATAGGCTACACCCTCCTCACCATCACCTACACGAACCTAGCTCCCACTAATTATTTTAAGTGTATAGTTGTTTTTTTGTGTCGGCTGCCTTATCTCCTACACTCACTGTAGCTTTCGTTATTGTATCATAATTTTGCTTCGATTATCTCAAATTTATCGTTCATAATTGTTATATGACAGTAACTAGCTTGCAATCGAATTGATATTTGATTATTATAAAAAAATATAAATTAAAACAGGTGAATGAACTGCAGTTATATAGCAATAAATGGAATATACATAACGAAAAACTGTGAATATTTACTTACGACTTAATTCCCGCCGTTAGGCAATAATATCGCCGTTAAAAATAAAGTTCACTTATTTTTCTCAAAGCTTTCAAACGCGCGCGTTATTTTCTAAGCGTCTGTTAATTAACAGTCTCAACCGTATATATTGCTGCAATTTGGTTGGTTGCCGTTCACTGAAAACGTTGACATGTCTGCTCCAATTGGCAGCGCTCACTTCACTTACTTTACATTTCCCGCCTGTTTGCAGGTTTTCATTTTTATTCTTACAAAAACGCACATACACTTGATACTTTCCGACATTACATAAGGATTGCTTGGTATATATGTTAAAAACAAGCTTAGCACTTCCATTAATAAATTATTTTGGTTTGTACACTTATTTTTCACAATTTTTCACACGCGCGCGCAGGTAATCAAGCGTGGCCAAACTAACAGCCCCTTAACATTCCGATTCACTGTAACCGTAAAATTGCCGTTCACTGAAAACGTTAATAGTTTTACTCAATGGGCACTCTTTGGCCTTATCACTTTACATTTACCGCCTGTTGCTGTTCCTGTTTGAATTTGAATTTTCCTTTTATATTTTTATGCAATTTGGTTTTTTATTATTTCGCTTGCGCTTGCTTGTAATATTTCATGCTACAATTTATAACTATATGTATATTACTTAGCGTTTACAAAAAATTATTTATGGCGCACAATGAATATGCGTTTTACATAGATTTTTGTTTTTTTTTTTTTGTGTTTTATTTGTTGATTTTTGTGTGTGTTAAATTTAAACTTAATTATGCTTGCTTGCTCTTTGCTTATCAGTTCATTATTCTCCATATAGTAAAATAGTGTATTAAATTGTTGTGATTTACATTTCAAGTGAATTTTGTTGCGTGTTATTTTTTTTTTTTTGGGTTTTCTTGTATCAAATATAAAATGCATATCAAATTGATTTAGATTTTGGATGATTACTTAAAAGTATAATGAATTGATGGGCGCGCATTAGTTACATAATTATATAATTGCAGTTATATGTAATATGTAGGTTTAGTTTAGAATTATATGTGTATGTATTGTATATTAATTGTATTTAGTTGCTGCTGCTGCATATTGCCAATATGGCCTTAATTAGCATAAATATTTAAATGTATTTCATTATGTACGTAGCTTATTATTGTTATGTGTTGTTGTTTTTGTTTTTTTTACGGTTGGATTTCATTGTTGATTTTGCTTTAAATTTAAAGTGCAATGCCAATTGTTGCAGTGTGACTTGAACGAAAAACATAACGCACAAATTAAAAATTAAAAAAAAAATATATACGAAACATTTAACAAAATACACATATTAAAGGTATATAAACGTAATAGGACAATTAATTTTTGTTGTTTTTCTTCTTTTTGTTTAAAAACATATTTCTTTTTTTTTTTTGTATAATACTTTTGGCATTTCTCGCTGCTTAGAAAAGAAAACAAACACAAACATTGACGTGGGTTTGCTGCATGCAATTTAAACATTAAATTTTTAAACTAAAACTAATTTCAGTTAGAATTTATTGAACAGTCTTTATGCTGATTGGTTGCCGCTGCCGCTGCCGCTGCTGCTGCCGCTGCCGCTGCTCCCACTACGTGGCCTTGGCAAACTGGATGACAGAGCTCATGCGCATCACCTTGGCGCCGGCGCCGGCAGCATTGGCGGCAACATCTGTTGTGGCATTTGGTGCTGTGGCCATTGTTGCCGCCGCCGCCTCGTTGACGCCGCCCGCTGCACCATTGTTGCCCCCGCTGCTGCCGCCGCCGCCGCCGCCGCCGACAACAACGCTGCTGGCCTCGGTCTCGTTCATGTAGTGCTTGCGCTTGCGCAGCGGCAGGGTCAGCACATTGCGATCGGCCATCATCAGGGAATCGCTTTCGGGCGAGGAGCTGCGCTCCGGCGATTCGGTGCTGGAGCGTAGTCCAATGGCCGCCTCAACGCGACGCACTATGTCCGCATTGGGCAGGGCAGATCTGTTGTGTGTGCGGAAGAGAGAGATTCAGTTAATAAAGGGCTTTCGTGTCGGATTGGCAGCTGCTGCTACTTACTCATACATGGGCACCGGCACGTAGCCCTTGTGCAGTCCATGACGCGCCAAATCGCCGCGTTTGAAGTGCTCGATGAGCACATTCGCCTCGTGCGTGTCATCATAGTTGGCCGCCAGATCGCTCACATGCAAAGTGGGCTGCGATTGGGATTGGGATTGGGACTGTGGTTGTATCTGTGGCGTGGCCGCATGACCGCGTCGCAGCTGCATCATTTGCAGGGCAGCCGCCTGCACATCCTCATCGTTGTCATTGTCATCGTCGGCGTGTTCGTCCCGCGCCATGCTGGCCGCCTGCAGCAGCGCGGACAGGCCGGAGGGCGCAGGCGCGGGCCCGGGCGCGGGCGTGCTTGGCTGCAGCTCCACTAGACTGGGCTGATAGTAGATCATTTGCGGCTCCGGCTGCTGCTGCTGCTGCATGCTCAGGTCCGTGGGCAGCTCCTCGTCCGCATAGCCGGAGAGCAGCTGTGGGGCGCTGGCGACGCCGCTATCGCGACTCAGTGCATCCGGCTCGTTTGGCGCCGATGTGGCGGCCAGATATTGTGGCGGCGTCGAGGCCTGACTGCTGCCCGGCGAGTATATGGACGAGACGGAGCCGGGCGAAAGCGGCGCGGCTGCTGCTGCAGCTGCTTTAATGCTGCGCGGCTGACGCGACTTCTTGACGGCCGGCGGCGATGAAGGCGGCGAATTGTTGCTGCTCTCCGAATTGCTGGCTATGGATGAGTTGGAAACGCTGCTGGCAACGGCAACTGCTGCTGCTGATGCCGCTGCTGCTGCTGCTGCCACGGCTGTCGCGGCCTCCACCTCATCCTCGGGCAGCTCATTGGCATGGCCCTTGATGTGCGCCTCCATCTCCTTCTTATTCTTGAAGGTCTCGTCGCAAATGGTGCACTTGTAGCACTTGGCGCCGTAATGCTGGACACGATGCAGCTTGAGCACATGATTGTAGCCAAAGTCACGGAAGCAGATGTCACAATGGTAGGGCTTCTCGCCGGTGTGGGTGCGCGAGTGCACCTTCAGCTGTTTGGAGCAGGTGAAGCCCTTGCCGCAGCCGGGCTCCGGGCATTTGTATGGCTTCTCGCCGGTGTGCGTGCGCATATGGATAACCAGCTGGCCGGACTGGATGAATGTCTTCTCGCAGACGGAACACTTGTGCGGCCGTTCGCCCGTATGGATGCGCATGTGGCGATGCAGTTTTCCGGAATGCTCAAAGGCGCGTTCGCATACGTCGCACTTGTACGGTCGCTCCTTCGTATGGATGCGCCGATGCACCTGCAGATTCTCCTTAACGCTGAACAGCTTGTGACAGAACTCGCACTCAAATGGACGCTCGCCCGTGTGCGTCCTGTAATGGCGGATCTGCAAAAATTAACAATTGGATTAGGCATGAGTGGAGCTCTTCTTACTCTACCACACTAACTAAAAGCATATTTAAATTCATACTGTTAATAATTCTAGATTTTTAGTTAAAAATCACCCTTATGAGTGGAAAATAAGTGAAATCTCTGAAAATCAGTTTGTTTTTTCTTTACGTATTATGCGTTAAACAATTGCAATCGGTTATATCACAAAAGAAATTGCGTGACTTAGAGCGGGATTTCGTTTAAGTGGAAATGACAAATCCACCCGTAAGAGTGGAAAATGGGTTAAATCAGCAAGATGACGTTTTCTTGTTTTCGAACAATTTGAAAGTTGTTTTTAAAGATTTATGTAAAAATTATTTGCAAAGCCGCTTAACGGTCGTTCGACAATTCCACCCATCTCGGTGGAAATGTACGTGAAAGTTTTTATGCCAAAAAGTGAATTATTTGCAAGCACATTTGCAGAGTTTTTTTAGTTTTGGCAAATCCGCGCGAACGTGCGGAAAATGGGTGAAAAAGAGGAAATTCATTATTTTAAAGAACACCCCCCACACCACCCCTCTCCCAGGCTAACCCCATTTAGACGAGCTAGTTATGACACTTACCAAACGCGCGGGCACCGCAAATGTCTTCTGGCACACATTGCACTGATAGGGATCGGCGCCGGCGGCCACATTGGCCAGCGGCTTGATGGTCGGACTCTTGGGTATGCCCAGCGGCAGGCCCGCCTCGTTCAGCTCGATCGGCTGCATGCCGGAGCTGCTGCTGCTGGCGCCCATTGTGACACCCCCCTTAAGGCCCAGTGCGAGATCCGCATTCTTCGCGTGCGATTTCGTGTGCGAGGTGTGCGCCGATTTGCTGCCAAAGGTCATGCCGCACTGCTCGCACTTGAACTGCGGCTTGTTGATGTTGGGCTTGCGGGGCGTGGCAAGCGTTTTAGTTGTCGCCGCTGAGCCATAGGCCAAGGGCAGCTCTGTTTTGATGCGCTGCTGTGTGGTTGTTGTTGTTGTTGCTGCTGCTGCTGCTGCTGTAGTTGCTTCTGTTGTTGTTGTTGTAATACTTTCATGTTGTTGTTGTTGCAGGGCCAATTGATAGCTGGCAAGTTGCTGTTGCTGTTGTTGTTGTTGCTGCTGCTGTTGCTGTTGCAGCTGTTGCAATTGGCGCTGCTGCGGCGTCTGCAATAGCTCGTAGTGCTCATGCTGACCGCCAGGTGGCGCAACACCAATGCCGCCACCGCTCGTTGCGGTGAGTGGCGTCTGCAGGCAGAATTGCGTCTGACTGGGCTGCTCCGTCTTTATAAGCAGCTGATTAGCGGGATAGTAGACCATGTTGGCTGTGGATGAATCTGCAAATAGATGAGGGCAAGGGGAAGCAGAAAGTTAATATAAGTTAATTTAATTTGAATAAAATAAGAAATTTTTAAAAGATTTTCAATCTATTCAACACACTTAAAATATATTATTAAATAATACACTTAAAAAATATAAATATCTATTAAAATTTAACATAACATAAAAAAATAGAATATATAAAAATTAAAAAATAATATAAGTACAAAAATATACTACCCTAAATGCAGCAAAAAAACCTTTAAAATTAATAAAAATTTAAAATAAATCAAATACTAAAAAATATAAATCTCTATTAAACATTATTATAAATTATAAAAAATATAATATTAACTAATGTAATATAATTTATAAAAATAAAAATATCCTAAAAATACAAATTTTTTATTAATCAAATTCACTCAAAGAAAACACTATTTAAAATTATTATAACATAAAAAATATAATATATATTAATAATAAACTATAATATAAAATTATTAAAAAAACCTACAAGAATATTAAAAAATATTTTAAATTAATGTATATGCTATAAAAACTCTAAATTTATAATAAGTGTAAATAAAATGTATTAGCTTTGAATATTTAATTAAACAATTTAAAATATTAAATATATCTTCTAAATATATAATAAAATAAATTTTAATTTAAATTTTAAAAAAAAATCCCTAACAACAGTAAACTAATCTTAAATAATTTACTTATTAATATACTTATTAAAAAAATTTAATTAAAACAAAATAATTATTTAAAGAAAAGAAAAGATTTGCAAACTGTGCACAGTCTTCACAAATGTTATAGCTTCTCTTAAAAGAAAACCCTATTTGATTCTGTTCATTGAACTTTCCAATAGTCAATTCAAAGCGTATGACGAGAGTTGTTAGCCAATCTAGAGAGGATTTGAGAGTCTTTCGAGGTGTTTGCAACCCTGGACTTGGACTTGGTCTTGTCTAAGAACTTGACAACCTGCATTACGCATTTTCCTTGGCAGAGCCAGCGATGAGTAACAACGCAAAAGCCCAAAAGGTAGCCGCGCATTAACTTGCTTGGTGGTTGGGAAAAACCCATTAAGGGTGGGGGACCCCCCTCGCCACCAACAACAGCAACAACAACAACTGGAAAAACCACCCTACGCACTCGAACTACGCAATTTTCTGTTATTGCCGGCCCAAGTTTTCACCAAAAAAAAAAAAAAATAGAAAGGAAAACGCATAAGCTTGAGGGGTAAGCACTTCGAGGAGTGTCAAAGAAAAAGAGAGAGAGGCAGGGTGGGGGGGTTTATTTTCGCCCGAACTACGCAATAGAATGAACGGTAAATGCGGGGTTTTTTTTGAAAATTTCCCTAATTTTGGGATTTTTTTTGCATCTTGTAAGCTCGGAAACCGGCATTTTCGACTCCTCTCTTTTGTTTGTTATTTTGATTTGCTCCCCCACACACACCCCCCCTCTCTCCCCTTATACAAACATGAAAAACTGAACTTCGTATACCAAAACAAAATGGCGTACGCTTTGTGGTGGTTGGGGGGCCGCTTATGGCAAAGTTTTTCCCGGCTTGTTTTTTTTGTTTTTTACCTTTGCCATTTGTTTTCTTTGGCGCTAGTTTAGCCTTAGTTTTGGATACATCGAGTAGTTCCGTGCCGGATTTGTTAAGCGCATCCTTAATCCAATTTTGCTTGGTCCCCCAAGTCTTTTTCTCATTGGGCCGCTCCGTCATAGCGTCCGATAATAGTTACTTTTTTATGCCCAAAACTAAAGATGTACAATATTTGATTTTCGTGTTTTTTTTTTGCAGTCTAGTTTTGCGTTTCTAGTCCAAAGTTTTGAAGCAGTCCATTTTTAGTCTTAGGTTATCTTTGTGCTCGGAGATCTTTTTGGGTATATTATATAGTATTATAAAGTTCTTGAGTTCAGACTTTTTCGTTGTTGTTGTTTTTTGTACTGTTTTATGTTAATCAGTCCTGAGTTTTAATTTGTATAGCGACAGTCTTAAGTTCTAGGCGTATTTTATTTGAATTCTTTTTATGACATATCTTTATTATATATATATATATATTTACTATATATATTTTTATTGTATTTACTTATAGTTGTATATATATTTTCTTTTGCACTTTCTTGTTCGTAAAACTTTAGACAACAATTTTCATTTTTCGCGTAATTTTTTGCTTAATAACACTCTTTTTGATAATTTTGATAATCTTTTTCAGATCTTTCGACTGTTGAACTGGCGGCTGTTGATAGTGCGGATAGTTTTGGGGCTGCTGCTGATGATGATGATGATGTTGATGATGTTGTTGATGATGATGTTGATGATGCGGAATCAGGTGACTGCCTTGACCGGAGCTCTTATGCATGCGCATTTTTCTAAACGATCTTAGTATATCGTTCATTGGGAAATCGGTCATTTTAGAGCTCCACTCATGCACACACACACACACGCACACACATACATGCAGGCACACACACGCACGTACACACGCACAACTCAAGTGGGAGGCGAGGAGTGTGCAGAGTTCACATTGCCGCACGCGAAGTTCTACGTTTGATGGTGCACCGGAGACTGGTGGGTGAGTTGCCGAAAAGTATGCCGAGAGCCCGAACCCAAACCCAAAACCAGACCAAGAACAGAAGAAAAAAAAAGCAACCACCACCAACATGAGACGTCGGCCCATTGATCTGTGATATGAACAACAAATTTCCCAAGTGCGCGACGCGCATTCAATTTGGAAAAGCGAGTTTATGGTATTTTAACCGAATTATGTTGAGCGGGAAATTATTTGAGTGGTTTCCAATTTGAGCTAGTCTCTTTTTTGAGCTACTTTGTTACAGATTGAGCGAGTGAGAGCAAACAATCACGGACAACTTGAGTGGGAAATTTCTGTGATTGGTTTCTTATTTGAGCTACTTTGTTGGAGATTGTTAGAGTGAAAGCAAACGAGTATGAGCTACTTGAGTGGGAAATTACGGTTCTTTAAATATTTGAGCTATTTTCATATTTGAGCTACTCTGTTAGGGATATTAAGAGTAGAAGCAAACAGTAAGGGCAATTTAAAAGGGAAATTACGGGAGTACTTTTTTTATGTGAGTCGAGAAACATATGACTAGGAAAATACGAGCAACGCTATATAAAGTGGGATATTATTTGAGCTAATTTGTTAGGGATTGTTAAGAGATAAATTAAAAGAGAGAAACTTGAAAGGAAATTATGGGAGTTTCTGAGTATTGACTCTTTGAGTAGTTTCTTATTTGAGCTTCTTTGTTGGAGATTGTTAGAATAAAACCAAACAAGTTAATGCAACTTAAAAGGGAAATTATGGGAGTACTTTCTTGATGTGAGTCGAGAAACATATTACTAGGAAAATACGAGTTATATGAAGTCGCATATTATTTGAGCAAAAACATATGAACGACTGCTATGACTCATCCAACTCCAAGTCTTATCATATTGGCAAACAAAAAAAAAAAGTATACCATCATTTGGCAACATTTTGATTTTCAACTGAGTCATGCTGAATTTGATACATTAATCTACATAATACCCTTTATAAATATCATTCAAATAGATATATACATGTATACAGACATTATTTAAGAGCGCCAGAAATAGTAACGATGACATAAAAGTTAAAGCGACTAAAATACTATGTAAATTGCGAACATTTTTGCAAATCAGTTGATTAGATTAGATACGACTGGACGGACGGGCCTAGCGCAATAGGTTTGAAATAGGGTAGAGCACTTGTAGATTACCGATCGCATATGTTATATATAACACTTTTTTTCGATTGCCATGTCAAAGTCTCAATAATAAAAAAGAAGAAGGAGAAGAAGAAGCTATTAATAAATCACTGATAATCAAAATAATCTAAAGATTCGTATTAAAATAATAAAAACTATAATTATTAAAACACTTTTTGGGTAATTTAAAATTAAGCTAAAAAATCTTTGAACTTGCACGAATCTCAAAAAATCAATATAAATAAAATTACAGATTCTTCTCATTCTTATTAAGAACAGTTCTTTAAGTAGAATCAATATTTGATGATCATTTCCACCTTCGACAACTTGAAATTTGAAAAGCGCCAAAAGCATGAAAAATCCAATGGTAAAAAAAAACGAATAATTTTTTTGATGCACGCAAGTTCAAAAAACTTTTTCATGTTTTTTTGTTGTTGTTTACACTCTGCATGTGTGTGTGTGTGTTTGTTGGACTGTGCCTCACACAATTCGTTAAACTGGCGCAAAAGTTCATTAACATTCGACACAAAAACTATTTTCGTGTGTCTGTCGAAACGAAATTAAATACATATAAATATGTATGTGTGCAAGTGTGCATGTATGATCTCTCTCTCTCTCTCTCTCGCCCTCTCGCTCTCTCTCTTTTGCGCTCTTTCCCATTCTTGCTCTATTTCATACTTCGCTTTGAAGGTAAACCAAAAAGAAACACACCAAAATTATTTTTTTCTTTTTTATCTATTTATGAGGTTAAAAGCACGACAAGCGGCGCACAATAAGAGCTCGGTCAATGATCGTGTAAATCTGCTGCCCCCTCCACCCCTCCCCCACTCGCCCCCTCCCACACACCCCTCTTGACACTTGTTAGGTGTACGTGTACCCACTCGCACATTTAGTGCTGGGAAATGCTCGTATGTTTCGTTTGAAATCAAGCTGTTTACCGTTATTTTTGTTGGGATAGCTCAGAAATAGAGCGCAACGCGCTTGAAACTGGTCTTGGAACAGATCGAGCGCCGTCTGGACAGCTAAGTATGTATGTACATATGTTGGATAGATCAGTTAAGCGACTCATAGCTGATGATGAGAGCGAAAGATGAAAGAGCGTTAGCGACGCGAGAGTCGAGTCAGAGAGAGCATAAAAGATGAGAGCTACAAAAATGTGGAAAATTTATGCAGACAAGTGAGATTTTTGAACAGATAATACAAATGGGAAATTAAAAAGTTCTATTAATTTACCCAATTATAATTTTTTTATGCTGTTTAATTGGTGTTATATCAAAATTTCTATAATTTAAAGCTTATTATATCAGAAGTTAATTGGAATTAGCTCTGAAAACTTCACTAGGAATATAATAGAAACAGTCTCTTTTAACTTTTAAATCTATTAAATGTTAATTGTAAATTTTCGTCAGAGTATTAGTCAGGAAAAAAAAAAAAAGAATTATTAGAAATTTAGTTGTATACACAGACAAATGCAATTGATATTGATATCTGATAATAACAGCTGGCATTATGTGAACTAAAACTTCAGATTTTATGGGAAAAAAAAGCCCCCTTGTTATAAGACTCGCTCGAATTTAATAGTGTTATTGTAAGTTTTAATGGGCTATATTTATAGAGAAGGAGATGTTGAAGAAGAATATATATATATATAGAATATATATGAAGAATTGATATATATATAGAAAGAATATATATGAAGAATTTATATATATACGTATAGATTAAAGGAATATCAACCGATTGTTTTATGATCATAAAAATGGAAAATATTGGAATTGAAGTTGAAATTGACAAATATCGAAACGATATATTCTTTTAAAGATATACCTAGTATTACGACTGAGTTATACTTAAGTAAAGCTCTAGTCTAAGGAATATATTTTGTATTATAATTGATTTAGGTCTTTTATATTTTATATATATGTTTTATACACAAATAAGACTTCAATCCACTTAAAATATGCATTAGCTCTTTAAGCTACAACGCATAAATCCCACAATTTCAAGCAATTAGTGAGTGCTCCTCAAAATAGCCGAGACCCAGACCCTCAGCACACAGCTCTACGAATACAAACAGACATATTTACATATATACATATATACATATAAATACATATATGTGTATGTATGGGTATGTACTCTGTGTGCCATAGAGTCTATGTTGCTTTTTTGGGAGGTCAATGAACATTTAAATAGAAGCAAATTGTTAGCTTTTCTCGCTCTGTCTCTCTCTCTCTCCCTCTCGCTCTCTTTCCCCTTGCCTTTCTCTGTCTGTCGCAGTCTCAGTGATTTGTTTACATATTTTCTTGCGATTTGTCTGGCGTATCCATTACAATAAACTCTTTTTCTTATTGTTGCTGTTGTTGTTGTTTTTTTTTTCTATTTGAGCTTTCAATTTAAAATTTTTGCTACGTTCGCGATAAGATAGAATTCGCCTGGCGTATTCATTAAGTTTTTTTTTTCCCGTTTTTTTTTTGTTTAGTCTAGTTGAAATTTTAATGTGGGAAAACTACTGAATGAAATTTTGTTGCGGAAGCTTTTCAGGGACGCACTATAAAAAAAAAAACGAAACTGTCATGACCGATAAGATAGTGATAAGAGAAGAATCGTGTGACCGGGAACTTTGCGCATGTTTCTGGAAATACCCAGACGGACTGTTATTCCAGTAATCAGAATTGAAAATAATATAATTTATGATTTTATTCTTTTTAAATATTCTTTGAATTTCAGCTTTTTTAAATCTAAGTTTAAGACTTAAATTATAGTTTCCATTAATTTGTTTTTAATTTGACCTACAGAAATTCAAATTTTTATCGTATCATAATTACGTCTATAACTGCTCAAGTGCCTTCCACAACAATCTTTAATAAGAATAATTAAAAAGTTCAATTAAAAGTCAATTTATAAAATCTCAATACCGTTTGAAGGATGTGCATTTCCAGTGTCCGCAAAAAGTTGCGAAGGTCTAGACGAAGAGATTAACAGAAGCGTCAGCAGAGGACACCTACACATATACACGCATAGGTGTGCCTATGTATGTGTGCGTACATGTATACCTTGGTGTAAGCGAGCAAGCGATTGAGCGAGCGGAGGCAAAAGGAGAGAGGGCATCAATCCAACAAATTATATGTATGTATGTATATACATACATATGTATATAGCCTAGCGGTTGGCCTAGGTCAAAACGACGCGTCGCGCCGGCAGCGAGACAAGACGCGACGTACTGAACGTGTACGGCTACGGCTGATGTTCTAATAGGCAACGGAGGGGGGGTGGCTGTTTGGTAGGTAGCTGTTATAGCGGCGCGTGTGCAAATTAAAATAATAACTTTAATATTCGACTTTTCATAACAGCATGACTAAACAGTTTTGCGGCAGTTAGTTAGTCAGATAATAAAATTTGACGCAATTTGTCATTGCAATAACGATTTTTATTTATTTTTTTTGCGTTAGTTTGTGCACTTAACTATTTTCCATGTCAAGGTAGAAGGCGAAAGGAAATCAAGGCTGCAGCAAAAACAACCCCCACAAGGAGAATTTCACTTTCGCAGTGGCAGCAGCCCCACATGCAAGCGCTTCCCTTTCATTTAGCTGTAGCTGTCTCTCTTTCCAGTCACCTTGCCATCCGCCCACAGTCCAGCCTGCAATTCGCAACAACAACAACAACGGGCAACGTGCTTACTCACTGCATATACAATTAATACAAACACACAAACACATGCACACAGCGACAGCGACAGTTGCGCATTGCCTGCTGCGGATGGTGTTGAAAACAAATGCACGGCCTCCTTATGGACGCGCACG